AACTTGATAAAACTTTTTAATAAACGAAAAAATATGGAAGTTTTGCAACTGATAGGTTAAAGTATAGAACTGGCAAAGGTTAACAAAAAGAAGCTGTTTCTAAGGAAATCATAAAAAAAGACAAAGAAACAACAAATGTGATAGAGAAATTGAGTGAAGTAAGAAAGTTCAGCATTTTGAATAGGCATTCCAGAAAAAGTTATAGGAGAATCAATATTTGAGGTTATATATACTAATTATTTCTAGAAGTGATAATACTGAAATATTCATATTCAAGAATTATGAAATCTGATCACAGTAATCTAAAGTATTCATCTAGTGGAACATCATGTAGCAATGAAAATGAAATACAACCCCAGGCAGCTTCTTGGAGTAATCTCAGAAACACACTGTGAAGTTCAAGAACTGGCCACACAAAGTATGCTTTCCTTACATTAAGGTGAGAACCAGGCATGCTGGTACACACCTGAAATCCTAGCTGTCTGGGAGGCTGAGGCAAAAGGATTGCAAGTTCAAGTTCACCCAGGGCAATTTAGCAAGACTTTGTCTCAAAATAAAAAAAGGGTTGAGGTCAGTGCAGAAATCCTATGTTCAATCTGCATTATCCCAAAAATATGGATGAATGAGTGAATATAGGAAACAAGAAAAACTCAGCATTAATAGATAAGATAATGATTACTTTGGAGGAAGAGAACAGGTTGCAACTGGAGGGGTTTATCATGCAAGGTTGCTTCTGATATTTTAATAATGATCCTATTCTTGATCATCTAGATACTACTTACATGGAGAATTTATATATGTAGTCTTGCATGTATTTTATGCTCTGATAAAAGGTTTACACACAAAAATGTTCCAATTTAGACAGAGATACAGTGATGGTGTTACTATTCCTATTTTGACGATCTTTCCAACAAATACCTGAACTTAGATGTTACTTTTTACCTACTTACAGATGAAAAACTGAAGGCTAGAGAGAGAGATGGTCTGACCTTGACAGGGAAGTACAGGTTGTAGGCAGCAGAGCCAAGACACTCGGCAGGTCTTCTGATTGCACGTTCATGATTCCATAAATAACTGTAGTTCTGGATTCTCTTAAAATACACAGTATCTTGTGGAAAATAATCTTTTATAGAAGTAAAATAAAGGAAAATCCTTTATCTTCAGTCAATTTGGTTGATGAGTCAAGGCTAGTTTTCAAGCCTGTAAACACATAATCTGTCTGTATGCTTTTATATTCTTATATCATCATGTCAGAGGTTTGACATTACAAATATATAAAACATTCAGGAATATTTAATAAAAATTAATATTTTAAGTTTAATTACTTTTAGAGCAATTCATTTTTAATTTATATTTTCTTATTATGTCACTGAACTTTTGCCAGTTTTTGAGGTGGTCAAAAAACAATCTTGTATCTGTAATTGCCACTGTAATTACCATTCATTAAGTACTTGTTATATGCCAGAGAATCTGCTAGGCATATTTTATTTAATCTCTTAATATTAGTTATCCTTTTGTTTAGTAGGTGTTCAGTAGCTATTACACAGTTTATTTTATTTAAGTGCCTTCAACCTATTCTTGAAACTTTTATAAAACTGTAAGTACGGTTAAATCCACTGAATGCAGACAGTATTAGGTCTTATGGGGCTTTGCTATTATTTTTTATGAATTACTGTTCAGCCTGACAGCTGTCCTTGTGTTGACAGCTTTTGTGATTATAGCAGTTGTCAAACTCCATCTTTAAGCAGGTTGTAAATCCTGGCTTCTTCCGATTAAAACTGGGTCAGAGCCAATCACAGGTTATCTAGAGGCCAGTATCCTACTACTGTATGCCCTCACTAGTTCCTTCTGACTGGTCGTTGTCTAGCAGCATGTTAAAATTCTTATTTGCCTATATTTTACCTGAGTATTTTGAGTCTTTAGTTGCTGCTCATCTTTTTATTTTTGTGATTAAACATGGTCTTTGCTGAAGAGTATATTGGTGTAAGTGTGGTCTTCCTTACAAATGACCTGTTAGCCTTCCCCTCCTCTTCCTCCACTGGGAATACTAATATCATTGCATCTGTGTCTCCCAGGGGAAATCAAGGTTTTTCCTTGCACGTGTAGTCATGTGATTGCAAAGTGGGCAGGCTTTGTATCCTCATGAGCCCTCGGTCTTCCGCGTAAAGCACCATCTGTTCTATCCCTTCCATTGTTGTTGCAGGGCAGTGGGAGGGACATTAGAGCGAAAATAAATAAAATAAAAAAGAAAGAAATTCATCATCAAAACCCTGAGGATTAATGGAGTCAGAAGGCTCACTGCTCTGAATGAAAATTCATCTTCACCTGTGCCAGTGTCAGGGCTGCCTCTGTGGCATTTGACAAATAGAGGTTCCCAGGGTACCATAAATTCAGCAACAGTTCTAGTCCCTGTAGACATGCTCAAGCTTTTCCAAGATGAGCTTATGAGTGTTTTTGTGTTTTCCAGCACATTGTGGGCACCAGTGTACCCCTTCATTAACTTGGCAAAATGTTAGCACTCTCCTTTCATCATTCCCTTTGTTCTGAAGGGTGAGCAGCTTATACGTTTCTGAAAGATGACTCTACTCTTGTAAATTGTATTTTCCTGAAAAAGCTAAAGGTGGGGAAATCAATTAACTGATGAATTTTTAACAAATTCTAAGTACTCAGCACTGTGCTACATGGAGAGGAGAACAGGAAGAAAAGAGAAAAGGGAGAGAAAGAGAAGAGAAAGAAAAAGACAAGGAAGGCAGGCACAGTATCAAGTAGCTCACCATCTAATTGGAGGTTACCAAATATATTTTTTTGCCAACTGTTGAGCATCTTATATGTGCCAGTCTCCCACAGGTAGTGCAGGTACCCTATCAGGATAATTTCACCTGTCAGGCTTAAAAGGAAGGACCCCTTTCCTTTAGTCAGTCTTATCACCTTTTTTCTCCCTCTGCTATAATTTCCTGATTGTTTATACTATTGTGGGAGTTTATCTTTGCATAAACCCTAGACTTGTTAGTAAAATTCTGTGTATATAGATACCACATTCCTTACAGTGAAGTACTGTCCTACAGCTCTTAAATTCCAAATTTAAATCTCATTTTATAGTTAGACGAGCTAAAATTTCACTCATATCTGTCAAGTCAGCAAATTGCATTTTCTTAGTTGGTTGGCTTTAGTGTTCTAGATGTGGAATTTAAAATTTTAAGCTCTGTTTCTGAGTTGGTACCCACGATGTTATCATATCTCACTGTTGGGAAGATCATTTCATCATACAGCATACATAAAATTAATGTCCCTGTGTCTGAAAGAGCCATCTTTCGAGTTTTCAGCTATAGCACACATCTACTTAGCCCTGATCTTCATGTTAACTATTGGGTTAAATTTGAGCAAAGTATGACCTGATAGACTGTGTTGGTTATTATACTGAAATACAAATTTGTACATGGGGGAGTTTGTTCATCAGATACACTAAAGAAGTTCAAATTTAAAATTTAACCAAGTGTTCCCCACAGTCAGTTGAGACTGATAGCTGTAAAATAAAGGTTAAGTGTTCAAAATACAGTTGTTATGTAGCTGATTGTATATAGGATCAATCCCTTCACACAGCTACTTGATACCAGGCTATGTACCTTTAGCTTTCTTCTTTTTTATAAAGGCTATTTCCCATGTGAATCTAATTTAGTACACAGTGATTTGTGGTTAAACTCTTTGGAAATTTAAAATTGAAAATTTGATTAAAATTATTTTGGGAGTCAGTTTTAACTTCTTAATGTAAGAGATAAATGAAGACATAGCTCGGTGGTGAAGCTTGTGCCTAGCATATGTGATACTTGGAATTCACTCTCTAGCACCACCAAAAAATAAATAAAGAAGATTCTCAAAGGGATGTTATAATCCTAAATGCTTCCTGTAACCTAATGCCAGATTTTTATCCAATGTAGCTACCTCAGTATAAAAATTGAGGAGTCTAAAAAGAAGTTACCCTTATCCTGGTGCTCTTCAATTGTTGGCACTGTCAGAGTTTTTAGTTTTTACTAATCTGGTAAGTTTGAAATGTATCTCTTGGTTTTAATTTTAATTTCTAGATTACTAATGTAATGCTTATCTTTTTATATATTTGTTGCCATTTATGTTTCATCTTGATTAAATGCCTATATTTGCCTTTATCCCAGTTGTCCAAGCCTCATCTATTTATTAAATCTGTGTTGCCAGTTTTGTCATAAATCAAGTTTCCATATATATGCAAAATAGATGGCGCTTTGTTGATTTGTTTGTATACCATGGGTCTAAACCATGCTACATGGTATCTTTATAATGTCTTAATGTCTATAGGCCCTTCCACCCCATGATCTGGACTTATTTATGATACTCATTGGTGCCATTGTTTTTTAAATTCTGTAGAGGGATAGATAATTTAATTACCAGTACAGTTTTTTTTTATATTTACAACTTATTTATTCATTTATGTACTCATCTACTTATTGCAATATTAGGGATTGAATCCAAGGCCTTCCCACTGAGCTTGCTTTTTATTTGAAACAAGGTCTCACCAAGTTGCTATATTGCCCAGGCTGTGCTCAATTTACAAATTTTAAAGGTCAGTTAGTTATATACATACCTCTGCCCAAAAACAAAACATGTTTTCTTTGACACTTAAAATGATTTTTGCTCTTCTGTGTGGTCTGTATGCCTGTCATTCTGAAATACAGATGAAAGTAAAATAGATACTTACTGTATTTTTATTCTCTGCATTCACCTTATCCTTAATAAGATCATAAAGCAAAAAATGTATGTTGTTTTAGGCAACCAAAAAGGAGTATTTGATTTTCCTAGGATTTGAAAATCCATCATCCTGCAGAGTTTTCATTACAAAGCCTGATCAGCCTTCCACCATTGTAAAATTGTTCATTGTTTAATATTCCTCAGCACTTGCCTTTCTTACCGAAGTGGAGGAATTTCTCATCCTCACAGTGAACTTGTTTTCATATGTGTCATTTTCCTTTCAGCCGCAGCCTGTGAGTTTTTGGATATTGTGGAGCTGCTGCTCCAGTCTGGTGCTGACCCAGCTCTCCGGGACCAAGACGGCTGCGTGCCAGAAGAGGTGACAGGCTGCAAAGCAGTTTCTTTGGTGCTGCAGCGGCACGTGGCTAGCAAGGCTTAATCAAAAGCCTGGAAAACCAGTCTAATGTAGGATAGGGCTTCAAGGATGAAAGAAAGCTGCAGAAATAATACTTCTGTCACCATTCATCTTTGGTATGCATTGGCTAATAAAATCAGTTCTGAGGATTTGGGATTTTGAAGTATCAGCAATTCATTCTTCATGCATACATTCTGAGAAGTACAGTTTTGGTGATGAACATGTATACTGTGCATAAATATAATCCAATTCTGCCAAGCATGCTCTGAAATTTATCACTGTTCTAGAAGGTGGAGAGAGGAGGAGGCAGATCATATTTCACAATATTAAACATGACTCTCTTTTAGAAAACATACAGAAGCAAAATGTGCCCAACAGCACTGCCCTGACAGAGGAAGTTTCATGAAATCCTAGTGCACAGATCAAATGACCTTGTAGCATTGTCTAGAAAGCTACAATGTTTATTCCTTTGACAGACAAAAATTGCAAAGATGAAAAGAAATTATAAAGAAGAGAAGTCCTAAGAAAGAGAAACTGAAAGAAGGAAAAGACAGAATTTTGTCAGGTCAGAGTATCAAAACGTGGCAACAACCAAGATTACTGAAAACCTGACAACCTTGGGCATTTTAGGATGACATTCAGTGACCTTATTCTAAGATTGAAACAGTTTCTGGCAAATCCACCAGTTAAGTCAGGATTTCTGAAACTTAGCTTTACAAGATGAAAGAAGAATTTTATAGTGTACAACAGCAGTCTCTGTACACAAAGCTCGAGCCTGAACTAAGGGTCTAATGGTTAATGTTGAAGTTATATAGAAAAGTTTCAGCTTTGATTTAAAACAAAGGCAAATATGCTGTAGTTTCTGTTGCGCATGCATCTGTCTTTAAATAGATACTGTGATGTGCCACTGTGGTCCTGTATTTTCCCCTTTAAACCTCAAGGATTCTTTCTGAAGAATTTCTTGAGATTCTTATTATGTAAGGAAAATAGTTACCATAGGAAGAGAGTGAAATAAGTTAAGAAACAAGCATAATCATTTAGAAGATTTTTGTCTTAACAAATGTTATCATTAAGAGAGCAAGTAATAAACATGTCCTCAACACCTAACAGAATTTTCATTATCTCGAGCTAACCTGTCCTTGTACAACAAACTCCTCCATAAAACAAATGAGGCATATTAATTCAGGTTTTGTGATTTTTCTAGCCTAACTTCTTGCTTTCTGAGATGAAACCAAAATTACTCATCAAGACTAGTTTTTTTTTATTTATTTTATTTTATTTTAAAGAGAATAAAACCAAACAAAATAAAGCCAATCAAAACAAAACAATGCAAAGTGATACAAAACTTCAAAACAGGATAATAGCAAATCAACGATTACCATATTGCCTCGTGTTACTTTCAAAATAGATGCCCATACCTTCAGTCATAATAAAATCAAACAAAACAGAACACCAAAGAAAACAAAGTAGTAAAATGGAATAAAACAGCACAATACAGGATTTCAAAAACAAGACAGAAGGAAATCCCCCATAATTGCTATATTGCATACTGTTATCTTCTCAATAGATGCTCAACTATGGCTTTTCAGGCCAGCAAACAATATAAGAATTAAGTTGTTTTTGTACCTCGGCTGCTATCAACTCATCCTGTGATCCTGTGAATCAGCTGATTGCTCCCTGGGTTGGGGAGAGGACTGTTCTTGTCTCCCAGCCCACACGCTGGCTGGCTCACTGGAAGGGTGGATTGGCTTCTTGATTATTCAGTTTTTAAATAGTTTATAATCTGTCTATGGACATGATATGCATGTTAGCACATACTGAAATTCTAATTGTAATTCTAAGTAAAATGTTCCCTTCATTATCTGTTCTTTCACCACAGTCTAGCAGCACTGCACCTACTGTTTAGGTAAACTTGTTCATGTTCCATAGGAAGCAAATGGTTCAAGACTGTGACTATGTATTAGTCACAGTAAAAGCGACCATGATGTTGCATGCAGGTATTTTTTGTTTTTCAGTGCCAGGAATTGAACCCAAAGCCTCATCCATGCTACACAAGTGTTGTATCACTGAGCTACATCCCCTGACCTTTTTATTTTGAGACAAGTTCCCATTAAGTTGCCTAGCCTGACCTTAAGCTTGTGATTGTTCTGCCTCAGCCTCTCAAGTAGCTTAGAGGTATGAACCATCATCACACCCAGTTATGTGCAGCTTTTTAATAATTATTATTATTTTGTGCATTTTTAAATATTAAAAAATCAAGAAGAATCTATTCTCTTCAAATGTATAGAGTAGTCGTCCAGGCAAGAGTATCCAAAAATTTTTTTCATCACTTTGCAATTTGACCTCAGTATTTCTTAGCCAAGTTCTTTATTTCCTGTTTTGATTGCATTTAAACTAATAGAATATTTTAAACAAAAACCATAACTTGTTTTGTTTTGTTTTGGGGGACTCGAACTCAGGGCCTCATGCTTGCCAGGCAGGCTTTGCCACTGAGCTACATCCCCAGGCCTAACTTGGTTTTTTTTTACTAGTTTTATTTTAAAGGTTTCAATTTTACATCAAAGCTATGACTAAAAAACATCAACTTAACATTTCAAGTGCATTATAAGTAAGTTTCAAATATCTCATCACAAGGATCTGAATTTTTAAAAACCTTATTACTCTACAGTAAACTATAGATTATCTTACACTTTATGAGGATTTTATTACCTTTGAATTATTGATGTATTATGCTAGTAAATCTCATGTCAGCCAGATCCTGAGGTCATTGACAAAAGCTGGGGTAGATCTCACCAGCCAAAGAACAGTGTCCTGAAGCAGAAAGCCAGCTAGGTGACTTCTTCCAGATATGTGGGAAACTGTTTCCATGTAGTAGAGCAGGATAAAACCAGTTGACACTTTAATAAATTTAAGTTTGATTCTGATGTGCGTGGTTTTAGTAATATTTGAGCCAATTAGAAAATTTCGTAGAAGACCTTTTTCTGAAATTAATTTGTGGTTAAAGGCCAAGTGGTACTTTTTTTTTTTTTTTTTTTTGTCTTTTTCCTTTTTATCAGTACCGGGGATCGAACTCACGACTGCCAGTCCTAAGTGGTACTTTAAAATTGTACATCAGCTTTTTTACTGTTTAATGTTTACTGAAGTTGGAATTCAGTTTCCTTCATACTTAAACACTAATTTGATATTTTCAGTGCATATGAACATTTTAAAAACTGAGTTGCCAATGTAGTTGAAACTGACTAGTGAGAGGGCTCATAAAGTGAGGGAGGACTCAGGACATTTGTGCCATATTCTTTTACTGGCTTGTTCTGATAGCCACCTATGTAGATGAGTATGTGTCTGCACATAAGAATGTGTTTAACCTCATTTTCCCATGTCCTTAGAAAAAGCAGATTGTGACTTTTCTTTGTCTTCATTTTCTTTCCTGAAGGTACTGCGATCCAAACACACCAGTGACTAATATTTATTCATGATTGTCATTTACTGTGCTCTCTGCCCACTGATCTGAGAGGTAGGGATTGCCTTCATAATAGTCTTGCCGCATGCTGTAGTGAAAAATGAAGAATAAAAGGGAAATCACGTAAACAAATAGCAAAGAAAAAACAAAATCTCTGACTCTTCCCTTCAGAACCCTTGCCTTTTTTTTTGTAGGGTAGGGATGGAAACATGGCCCCTTTTGTGCTAGACATGCACTCTGCCGCTGAGCTATAGCCCCAGGCCAGCTTGAGTCTTTCTTCTAACTTGTTATTTTCAATTTACCAAGTTCCAGATTACTTGGAAAAGTTATAAATTACTTCTACAGCAGGGCTGTACCCGACATTTGAAGAGTTCTCAGGTCTCCTGAAGCCATAGACTCCATGAGGGTGTGTGAACCTCGTTTGAGACCCTTTTTCCTGCCCTGTGTCACAGCTTTTTAAGAAAAAGGAACCTTGAGGCTCGGGATTTAGCTCAGTGGCATAAGCACCTGCCTGGTAAGTGTGAGGTCATGAGTTTGATCCCTGGTACCAAAAAAAAAAGAATAAGGAACCTTTTGCTGACTAATAAAATTCTTACACTTTTACACAGATGACATATTGTGTTGCCATGCATACTCGAAGAAATAAGACATGCTCCATATACATATGGAATCTCTGAAGAGGCACTGGCTGAGAAGTTGGACCCTGATCTTTTTTGACCTCTGATTCTGTGGCAGAACAGAAATGAGCCCACGTGTTCAATTCTGTGTGACTAATGATGCCTTAGTATTTATGTTTGACATTTTTTATTTTTCAGAATGCATTCATAAACATAATTTATTATCAACACACAATTATTCTGTAAGTTAGGGAGAGCAAATGTTATTGAGGTTGCTTACATGAAGAGAGTCAGACAAACAGATTAGTTGAGTTGCCCCAATTCACAGAAATGGTAATTATACCATCACTAGAACAAGTCTACTAATCTGAATCCTTTCTTTTAAACTACAGAACTTCTTGAAATTTTCAAGTCTTTCCTCCACCAACCCACAGATAGTTCTAGAAGATTTACCAAATGAAAGCAATGGTGTAGGCCAGTGGCACTATCTTGCCCATTTGCATGACCATTTAGAGTTAAATAAACAAGTCTCAAGGTATTGCCTGAGGTATCTTGAAAAGTCTCATAGAATTATGAATTATCAAGAAACTAAATTCTTAAACCTGTTATAACTATCTCTAATAAAGATATAAGGATCTGGCTGCAATTGTTATCTATTATGCTTGTCAGAAGGATAACAACCAAAATATAATATCTGGAATTCCATCTAGTAATCTTTTTTGAATGTTTCAGCATTTTCCAGCTAAAAGGTTGCTATAATCCAGTGAACCTTTGTATCAAATAGCTATTTCTTAGCTTCCTGCCAGGTTTAACTACTTAGCTATGGGTTATTATTTCATGTGCAGTACATGATCTCTAAGATTAATGACCAAGGTATATGGCTGTAGCAGAGTTGAGCAAGAGTTGCAGAAAAGTTTAGGATCCAGACAAATACATGCTTCAGCTGAACACGAATACTTGTAAATGTTTACTTTTTAGATTAAAAAATTAAGGCTTTTATCAAACTTCAAGGCACTTTAAAAAATCTCTTGATAAATGTTTGTCACTAAATACTTGTATAATCTGCCAGCTCCAATGTAGTAATGAAAATATTGAGTTTCATATGCATGAGTGAATTTGAAATCCCAAATCCTGAGGTGATTTTGGGTTACATATTTTCATAAAAGTTACAAACTATATTTGAATAATTCTAAGATGCAGTTTTTCACATTAATATATCCAAAGTCAAATACCTTTTTCCAACAATGGCATGCCATAATTGAATTGGTAGTATTTTTGTTGTTGTTTTTCCTTAATGATAAACTATTTCCTTTCTCTATCAGTAAAAAGCTACTTGGCCCTAAAACCCAAATCAGGGTATTCATAAGTTATGCGCTGCTTTGTAGTCAGAGCAGCAATTCCTCTTACTGATTTTCTTCATACAGATGTCAGAAGTAAAATTGTTAATCGGCTTAAAGAAACAAATGAAACGTAAGGCGGGGCTTCCCCCATAACAGGCATTTTCCCCAGAGTGGACCTCTGGACATCGAGTGTGGGCTTCTCTTTAGGCGGGAGCTGAGCCCTGAACCTAGAGGTACTGGGTGCAGGGGCTGGATTGCGGGACTGCCAAGGCCTAAGGAGAAAGGGTGATGTCTAACGGGCTGCCTGTGGCAGCGGCAGCAAATTCATCATCTACACGGCAGCCAGGATTTATTTTTCCTCACACTTGTGTAGCAATCCTGGTTTCCATTTTAATATTTAGAAGGTAGGTTCAATTGATGGACACTTTGTGTAATAAAAAACTCTTTTAAAGTATGTGCAGGAGCACACACAAGATAAAAAGTGGCACCACTAGTGCCCATGGCTTTCATGGAGCACATTTGTGAAACCCAGAGCTTAGTCCTGGATATGTTTATAGCACTTTAGCTCTGTTTGTGAGTTTGGAACCTTTCCAAAAAAAGAAGAGAAAGACATATATTATTGTTTATAATCTGCTTTATTCCTCCAGACCTTGAGTGAACAGACTTGTGGATTGCTGTTTAAATCCCTCAGTGCCTTTAACTACCGATACAGAAAGTGGTTAATGCGCATTCTAAACGAGGCTTGGCATCCACTCCAGGAAATCACTTTAATTGAGAAGCATTAAATGTTAAAATGATTTAAAAAAAAAAAAAAGACCAGCACACATATTGAGTATAAAAGTCCTGGCGACCAGTAATACAGTTTCTTGGTTATCATAGCCTCCAGCCTGGTGAGCTTTAAGCCCTTCAGTTGACAGGTGTCGAAAAGTGACTTTAACTCTTTAGGCTGCTATCTGCAGGCAGCCACCCATAAGCTGGCCAGTGAGCAAGCAACCTTCAAGGACTCCACTTTAGAGGAAGGGAGTAGCTGTCAACTTTATGAATGTTTGTTTTTCTGCAATAATAAACTAGTCCCGGGTGACTAAAATATGAGATTTAACCCCAAAGTCCAATGGCCTTTTTTAAAAAAACTGCTTGTTTGCAGTTCAAGTGTGCCAAGACTACTTTTTGGAGGTTTATATTTTATCTTTCATTAAGCAGTACCCAGCCTTTCCCAAATCCCCAAACCCTTCCCAACCACCGGAGATAGTGATCCAGGCTTGGCAAGCAAGAGGAATCCAATAAATCTTTCCTTAAAAAGCCCTTAGGGACAGCTCAGCCTCAATCAGCCTTGTGAACTGTGACCAGTTCAGTAGCTCACTGAGCAATCCCGAGTGTGAGTCAGTCATGTGCAGATGGTTTTCTCCTAGGAGGCGCTCCCGTGGTCCTGTTGTTGCCTGTATCGTTTTGAGAAGGGAAAATGTGCATCTTGTCAAGTACAGCTGTGGTCTATTCAGTTTAATTGTAAAATAAACTAGTTGGTATATAGTATCTAAATTCGATTTTTGCACTTGGAGAAAGGATCAAAACTTAAAGTCATGAAAAGGGGAGAGTGCAACTGGGAAATCCTGAACTCCCCTGGCAGAAATGGGGGAAGGGAGGGAATGACTGCAGAGTCACAAAGGGATAAATGTTTCCATGTCTGCTTTCTCTGAAAGGATATGATATACTCTTCCTCTGGCAGGAGCTGATTATTTAAAAGACATTTATTTAATGATTTGGGTGTTTTTCTGACCCCCTTTAGAAGGATGATAAACTTGTCCCAGTAACATAGTTGTCCCTCTTCCTGCCTCCGTGGTATTTCTCAACAGTAGTGACTGTAAGCAGCAGAACACTGCTTACCTCCCTGCAACAGCCATGATCCAGATAACTATTCAAGCTGAGCTTGATCACGGTTCCCTGCATTAGCCAAGCAAAGGGACGTTATGAAGAAAGGCACTAGGAATTCTGAAATAACATCTAAGGGAGGGTAGCAAAGGATTAAACAGTTTCCCTTTTATGCTGTGAAGGGTGATTTTTACACTGTATCTGAAGAATCAGATCTAAAGAAGTACATTCAGATATGCCGAAGCTCATCTCTCTTAATGATTTTACTTCTAGCTTAGCAAATGGCTCAAATTGGCAGTATTGTCTCGGTACCGGGGATCGAACTCACAACTGCCTGCTTGCAAGGCAGGCGCTTATGCCGCTGAGCTAAATCCCCAGCCGCCATCTTTGATCTCTTTCTAGGCTTATGTGATTTTAGCTGAAAAGAATCCTGGGCCTAAGGAAAAAGAAATGAAACATTGACCACTGAGCCTACATTTATTTCCCTAAGTGGATCTTATTCAGTGCTTTCTGGCTCGTTGCTTTCTGTATTCTTTAAACAGCTATTCCTCTATGAAGTCTGTGTCAGAAAGAAAATCTGTTCAGGAACTGCTGACCAGTGACCAAACCAAAAAAGAAGAAAACAGATGAAGGGAAGATGGGGAAAAGAAGGGGAAAGGACAGGAAGGAAAAGAAGGGAGGAGAAAGGAAGGAAGGAGGGGTGCAGACAGGAAGGGAGAGGAAGAGCAGGAAAGCCACACAAAATGACAGCGATGTGGACCGTGTCCTAGGAGTTCCAGAGTTCATTACAAAGACTGCAGGGTAACTCACAGCTGTGACTGATGAGTTTCCCCTGCCCATCCGCCTAGCCAGCCTGTGGGCACTACTCAACTTCCTGCAGTGACAGAAATGTTTACTATCTGTGTTGTCCAAATACTGTAGCCACTCGTCACAAACCGCTATTGAGCACTTAAAACATGGCTAGAGTGTGACTGGACTTTTAGCTTAATGTTAGTAGGAAGAGCCGTGTGCCTGCTGGACAGTGAAGCTGGGTCTGGATCTTCAGCTACACAGTGGCAATCACTGAGAGGAACAGTTGGCTCTAATATTTCTATGATGAAATTCCAGTTCTAAAGAAATCCTATGGCTTTATAGGGTTTTTGTTTTTGTTTTTGTTTGTTTTTATAATTTTAAGGGTTGGTAATATAGATGGGTAGAGCACTCACCAGCATGTAGAGGGCCTGGGCTCAGTCCCCGTATCCCAAAAGAAGAGTTCTTTCAGTCCAGCTAAATGTCAGGGCCTGTATACTCGTGTATCTCCTGAAGGGAAAAAAACCTATATGGAAATTTTCCTAGAAAATGCTTGCCCAGCATTTTTGATGAGGTATTTCTATCCTTTTTACACAAATTTGCTCGTGTTTAGGGGAAAGGTGTCATTGTGTATTCATATGTAGCAGGACAAATGGTAAAAATTACATGATCAACAGATGATTTTTTCTTTTTCCTCTCTTAAATCTAGGGACAAATGATTGTGCCCCCATGAAATTTGTATTAGCAAAATCAGAGAGCCTCTCCACTCAGTCCTTTATTAAGTAATCCTGTTATTTCATGGCTTTAAGCAGTGGCATTCCGAATTAGATTTTTGGTTTCCTTCTGGAGATAAAAGGATCCCACTGTCAGCCCAGCTTTATATTCTGTGTCAAGAGAGAAAAAGTCCAGAAAACCAAATGAAAAGCAAGACACATCAGCTTCTAAAGAATTTCCATGTTTATTTTACACAGTTTACCGTACACATCTCATGCCAACATACGGGAGGCATATACAAACGCACCAGCTTCTGCTCTCCAAAGTCAGTCACATAGCAATAAATAAGAGTGGGTCCTTTTTGTTGCTGTTAATTTTTTTCTTTTTTCCAGGACACAGGCCTTTTATTTATTTTTTACTGTACAAAATTTACACTGGGAAGAATGAGGGCAACAATCCAGAGCAGAGGGAACCTGGGACCTTGAGCTCTGAATGCAAATTCAGAGCAGCTTCTGGGGTCCTGTGGCCCTAAATCTGCTCATTAGGCTGAACACAGTCCTCATGTGGGGAAGTATGATGTGGTCCTTGTCTCTAGGTGGGCAACAGGTGAGAGTGGGGGTGTCTTTGCCCTCTCCACCTGTGCCCTGCCTCTAAGCAAAGAAATGCCTGGTGCACCTCCCAAACCCGCAGCTGTCTCCTCACCAGAGTGAGCAGCATGAAACTGTGCTTTTAGTGTGGTCCTACCAAGCAGAGTGTGGATGGGATGACTTTGCTGAGCTCTCTCTCTTTTTGGCTCCAATCACCATTAGCAACTACTGCAGAAAGGGCCAGTTGACCAATCCAAGAAAGAGAGAGCCAGTGATGTGCTTTTATTTAGCGTTCAGCATGCCCAGAGCCCGTCAGCAGCAGGCAATAAAACAAAACTCATTTCCGCTTAATTGAATTTTTCTTCATCTCACGGTTTCCAATTTTTAAAGTGCAATGTTTAAAAATGAGCTTCCTCAGGCCTTCCAGACTCTGCTGGCTGAGGAGATGTGGTCATTATGTCCATGGTTATAACCAAGGTGTCAGTTGTGGCACGTGGGAGGAGCTGTGTGGGGGTTTAGGTGTCATGGTGGACTGTCTTGAAACACAATTGCTAATCCAAAGCCTCGAACACCTCCTGAAGTTATGTTGTTTTTGTTTTCAATACTGAGGATTAAACCCAGGGGCTTGTACATGGTAGGCAAGCGCTGTACCACCGAGCTAAATTCCCAGCTCTTTTTGTAGAGATAGAGTCTTGCTAAGTGGCCCAGGTTGGCCTCAAACTTGAGATCCTACTGAGTAGCTGGGATTAGTGTGCCAGCTTCTACAGATTTTTTTATACTTCCTGGCAAAATGAACATAACAAGATCTAACAGCCTTCAATTGTATCACTAGATTTGATGTTTTAAAATAGCATTTAAAAACTTTATGAACTCTGCCAAATGCTTTTCTTAGGTCATAATTTCCCTGCTGTTTCACTATATTAATTTGCAGGACCAATGTTACCATTATGGTGGTTGATGTTCATCTTATGTTTGTTCATAACAGATGAGGCAAGAAAGGAAAAACACAAAAAGTGAAAGGAATTTGCCAAGGGTTGCACAGCAAATCCTTGAAGGGGCAACAAAAACCACTTCTCAACTTGATTTAACCATTGGGCCAGTTAGCCCTTGTTTGTTACATTTTTCTCCATGGTTTTATTACTTTTGGGCAAATGCAGAGTTCACCAAGTTAGCCACTCATATCTCATATTTGCTGATCTGATTTACCCCTGGAATTCAGGGCAGGAGGTGGAGGGGATGTTGATTTGCTCCAGTATTCAGAAGCTTCCTCCTCAAGCCTATTAGGCAGGCACTGCAGAGAGTAGTTGTTAACTAGTCTCTCGAGGGAAACATAGACCCAAATATTGTTAATGCTCTAAAAGGTCTCACTTCATTTTTTTAAAATTATGCATGTCCTTTAGCAAGGGAAAGACAACACTGGGTAGTACCTGCTACCCCAATAATACAGGCTACGAGGCAGTAGGAGTGTCTCTAAGAGAATCTAAAGGAAATGTCCTGTTCCTCTCCATCTCCAAACCACAGAAAGGTCAGAAAACAGTCTTGATGTGCAGGGCTTGTCGGCACCAGCCTGTCCATCATGCAAACCCAACTTGCAGAAAGAGCACTGCAAATCTAAGACCTGTCATGGCTGTGCTTCTGACTGGGCACCAGGGCTTGCTGTTCTCTAGAGAGGTGACTAGGGAAGGAAATTAATGCTCTCCTGGCCTTCTGGTCAGTAGTCTTTCAAGATCTTTTCCAGGTCACCTGCCCAAATGAAACCAAACACTACTGCTAATTTCACTATGTTGTCCACTGAGTTCCTCAAAAGACTGTTTTTATTAGCATGAATGAGGACAGCTTCCCATTCTTCCATCACTGAATTAGGAATTGATGAATTCATTTACAAAAACAAAAACTGGTCAGCTTAAATTGACCTTCAGCAGTTCAATACAATCACCAAAAATCTGAGGTGCTTCTGCGCCTATGTGATACTAAGCCAAACAGTCAAGGTGACATAGTCACCTGGCTGGTGCAGCTTTTCAACTGGATTGTCCAGCATAAGTTTCCACCTGTGTAGTATGAGCAGCCTGCTGAGAATAGTGTGTTTAAGAAGCTGGTCCCCAGATAGTTGCAATTTCCTTTCCTTTCCACAGCTTGTTGTCTAGCATTTGTGTCTCCATCCCCAAATGGCATTCACATTGTTGGGAAATTTCAGTAGCACAGATTTGGATTGACTTAACACACCATCATCCATAAATACGGAACCTCAAAAAGTCTGTGTTTGCAGACTCCCCAAGCAAAGATCAGGGAAGTTGCAGCCCATCCAAAAACAAGAGTACAGCACAAAACTGATCAGAGGAAAGGCAGCCTGAAGGCTGATTCAGGAACTTACTGACTCTATCCTTTAAAGAAGCTTAATGGAACTCAGTATAGTCTTGAAGAGAGCTTACAAATGATACAACAGTCTTGTATCTTCCTTTAGTCTGCCTACCTTACACCTAAATCTCTGCAGTCCTCAAAATATGATCAACATTTCACAGAAGGGTCACTAGGGCTTTTGGTCTCATCGTGAAAGAAAGGCAATGCCTTCTTGCCCTTTCCTACCCCACCGATCTTAACGGAGTGTAGGGCTAGAAGAAGCAAACCATGCTTTCCCAAGGGGCAGGAATAAATTCCAGCTGGATAACTGAGATCTGGAATTCTCAAGAGAGCATCCTGATAGCACAGAAGTGCAGCCTGTCACAGAGTGGCAGCTCATAAAGCAGAGACTGAACTTGCCTTGCAGGCTTAGTGACATGGAGGGAGTGAGTCCCTGCACTACCAGTGGCCAGAGAACTCTGGCTTCAAAGTGCAGCCTGGAGCTCAGGTCATGGCACAAGTCCAGCCAGCAACCCCAAGAGATGCAGCCCAAGCACCACTTAGAACCCTTTTGACAATTTTAAGGCTGCTCCCTAAATTATTCCTCCCAACCAAACTCGGCCAAAAAATACTGCTGGTTCCTGGAAGCAACCAAGATTGTCCTCCAACTGAGTTAATTTGTGCAGTAGAGGACACTTTCACTTTTAAAAGGGAGGAGAAACAGACTTGAAAGCTCACAAACCAACTCCCTCAAAGCAGACTCTCTAAATTTCATTTTACCCCCCAAAGGATGAGGCTTTCCGGGAGACGCATCTGCCAGTGAGGCTGAACAGACTGCACGCTTCGAATCCAATGTGTCTACAAACGTTTTCACTGATTGTCATTCTGCTCTCTCCATGGCCTAGCTTTGATCATTTTGTAGCCCACATCCTGTCTGGGGAATAAATGATACAAGTCAATTCAAAAGGCACACTGTGCACCAAAGGGGCTCATCGACTAGTCTGTGAAGGTCTCAGCTCCAGCCTCAAGAGTCACCTGCATTGAAAACCACTTCTTGCCATCAGGGATTCAGTGATAGAGATGGGATTTATTAAAAACCAAAACTGATCAATATTCTCTGGTTTGTACTTCTGAGCAAGAAAGAAGTCATTTTCACAGCAATAAAATGTTTATAGTATCAAATTGTGGCCATCAACCTTTAATAACTGACTTCAGTTTTGAAAATCAGGGTGTAATCAGGGTGGTCCAGAAATCATTTTATTAGACTCAGGGGCTGTGATGCCTCTACCTTAGGAATCTTGATTCTGGTGAGAGCAGCGGTTTGGGAAGCATTGTGTGAGACACAGCAGTTGGAGCAGAGATCCCAGGGCCAAGGAGGCCTGTCACAGTTGCATTGTGTCACCAAAGCACTAAGCAGCCGAAGCCTCTAAGCAGGGCGGGAGGGGAAAGAGCCAACAAGTCAGCATCCCTAGAGCTCTAGGCTGCCCACCCCTGTGCTATGTGTGAGATGAGGCTGCTCTCCCCCAACCTTCCAAGAAAAGCAATGCCCTAATGTGGCTTCACGGCCTTCTAGAAATCAGCAGAGGACTTCCATTGAAAATAATGGAAATTCACATTGATGCACCTTTGATCCTTAAGAGCCAAGTCTCTTTTGATCCTTGAAGATATTCTCTCAAGCCAGGACAGGTAGGATGGGGAGGAGAGAAGTTTAAAAAGGAGGATGATCCATTTCATCGAGCCAAGAGGCTGGGCTAGTCGGAAAGTCGGGATAACCTACACTGCTTCCTGTGGAGATGTCAGAGGTGGGTCCCCCGGCCATGGCTCTCAGTGTCTGGTTTACTCCCTGCCCTGCATGCGCAATGATGCCCAAATTATTGTCCACTGTGTAATCCAGCCCATTCAGCAAAGGAGCGTGGGATGGCAGGGACGATATAGAGGACGGAGACTGGGGGATTCCATAGGGGCTCCCATCCCTCAAGTCCTGATAGGATTGTCCTGTCCCGTCCATGGAGAAGCTCCCATTCATTAACTGTCCGCCTGTAACGTCCCCCACGTTGCCATAAATCCTATTGGTGTGGCCAAGTTCTGAGAGAATTTGATCCTCTGTGGACAAAAGAATGGAGATTTATTGTCAGCTGCCAGGGCTGTAGTGGTCCCTGCTCTTCACAGTCTAGCAATACACATGATCAGGAAAGATGCCCAAAAGCATCACCTGCCTTCTGACAAGAACTGATCAGACACCAATATGTCAGTGTGATACCCAGAGACCAACCTGAGTCAAGGCAAAAAAACAGAAAAGATACCTGCAAAGACTAAATTCCCAGGTCCCACAAAGGTGGAAAAAATGTTTGTGAGCTCTGTGGTCTTGTGTGGTTCGTGTACTAAGATACTCAGGCTACACTAAGAAGTATGAGTCCCCAAGGTTTGGTGAGTTGTGTTATCTGCATCACAGATGAAAACTACTTGCTGGCAAGATTTATTCTGAAAGCTTTCAGGCTAAGAAGTGTGCTTGGTTGGGAATCAGCCCGTAAAGGCAGCTGAGGACCACTCTTAGACATGTGTGCAGAATCCTTCTGGTCTACCTAGAAAAGAGGTTCAATGCCTAAGGGTTTAGTTTCTCTAATAAGCTGTTTGTACAAGTCAAAGAATGACTTGATTAAGGCAAATAAACCCCCTCTTGTTTCTTGAGGAATTTCATTAAGGGCAACTAGTGAGATCTTTGCCACATCAAAGAATTCAGCTCTCCAACAGAGTTGAACAGTTTTAGTCTTAAGAAATAAGGGTTTGTTTATTGTTTAGAATAATCAATATGTTAATGGGGGGCCCACCTGCACCCAAGAGAAATGAGCTACAAAATTGAGATTTAACAATTCTAGCTATCCCAGGTCTGGATTTAGACAGCCACAGTGAGATTAAATGTCTCTCCCAATCCTGTTAAGAGACCCAGAAAGTAAGCATAAGACTCTTGGACCCTTTTTGGTGCTCCAAGCCCTGTGTTCTGAGGAGGCTGCTCTTTGGGCTCCATGGATCTCTGGGCTGAGCTCAGCCCTCACAGGCCTGATAGGCGATTTGTTCCAGCCTCTGTCCCACAGGCCCCTTTTTTGTTTCTACCATGGCCCATGCATCAATTCCTATATAAATCCTCCCATTCTATATCAACACCCCTGCTTCTGAGCCATCACTCCACTCGTGAAAATAAAAAGACAGTGAGGAACTCATGCCCTTCAAAGGGAGCGGGAAGGTGAGGCCTCAGCGGCACTATAACAAGGGCCCTCTGGCAGCCACGGGCCACAGCCTTCCACGTGTACAAATGTGCTTCGCTTCCCCAAGCTCATCCACAGCTGTGTGTGTTCACTGATCCCCATGACAACTGTGAGATGGCAAGGACGTGGTATTCCCATCTATAGCTGGGAGACTGAGGCTCACAAGAAACCAATCACTTGACAGAGCCACACTGGAAACCAGGTTTCCGATTCCTCGTTTAGTATTGTTTTCCCCCAACAGAATACTTTCCACGTTCGAGGACTGAGTAACTGCGAACAGTTAGGGTTATTTGCAAACAACCTGAGGAGCCACAAGATGTAGTAATTTGCAGTGTTGCTGATGCACAAATTTAAATACAGTGCATGCTGCAAAGCTGTGTGCAGGGGACAGGACCGAGTGAGTGGCGGGCTAGAGGATCTCAGAAACAGCAAGTTCTCAATCTCACATGCACTCACAGTATTGTTTTCCCAGGACAGGGGGAACCAACAGGTCATTCTGGGGATCAGGAGAGGAAGACGATGTCTGTCCCCACAAAGGGGAGATGTATAGGAGTGGGGCTGGGGGAAAAGACTTGTGTTCACAGCTGCATGGGCTGGTGGGGGCACTCTCTAAGCAGAAAGAGAAGGGAAGCCTGTTATCCCAGCTTTCACAGCTAAGCAACAGCGCTCTCATTTTCTACTCCTGGTCCCACCACGAAGGGCCACTAACACCTCCCACCCCACACACCTTGCTGCAAGTCTTCTCAAGGAGGGAGTTGACCTGGCCTTGAGAAGAAAGACCTCCTGCCTGGCAAGGATTACTGCTCCCCTGGGAACTTTCCCTGAGACTCGGCCTCACCCCTCCAGCCCAGCTCACCTCGGAAGCTCAGCTCACTGTCACTAACCCCACAGTCCTCTGCAGAGCTCTCCTTCTCCTGCTTGCTGCCGCCCCGGCTCCTCTTGACGCTCTTATAGAACTGTCCCCAGCGATGCCGCCCTGCGTCCTTCTTCAGGCGTTTCTCCTTGGCCCTTCTGTTCTGAAACCAAACCTGCCACAAAACACAAAGGACACACCCAAGAGGCGTCTACCACAAGCCAGAAACTCCAGGACCCCTAAGGCAGGTGGCTGGAAATGGACCGGGACCTCAGGAGAGTACAGGAGTACAGATCTCAGAATCTGCCTCCAGATTCTGGCAAATGCCCTTGGGGATCAGTGATGCCATTCACCAGGTGACTGTCACTCATGTTGCCCAAACCTCCCTAAGGTAGAGGGCATAGATACAGCGTCCTGGCTCTGGATACCATCCCTTCCCACTAGAGACCCAGCTCCCTAGAGTACAAAGAAGTATTAGCATCTCACCTGTACAACCCTCATGTCCAGGCCTGTCTCAGAAGACAGCTGCTCCCTCACATGCCGAGCGGGCTTCGGAGAGTTCTTGTAGGCATTCTTTAATGTCTCCAGCTGCTTTGCTGTGATGGTGGTCCGTGGCCGCTTTGCTCCTGCCTCCGAGTCATCTGCAGTGAAAACCACCTCCCCGGGATCAGCCCATCTGAAACAGCTGAGTCTCTGCCCACCTTCCTTCCTTCCCCTGCTAAATGCACCTACTCTGGGCAGGACAGTGGAGGAATGGTCCCCACTCCATGGGGACCCCACTCCAGCAGTACAGCCTTCTACAGAAGCTCATTGTCCTGTCTCACTTCAGCTCCCAGCCTGTCCCTTCTGCGACAGCCCAGTGTCTCAGAGATCTTTCATCTGCCTGAACGTGAACAGGTTCGCACATGTGTCAAGGCAAACACTGCTCGGACATCCTTGGGAGTCATCCCTAGGGCTGTGAAGGTCAACTGGCCAAGTAAGCGCTCACTGTATACCGGGTGAACTGCAAGCTTTGGATGCATTTAGGTCTTACAACTCTTGGCATCAGAAGACCTGGGCTCGGCCTTCTTGATAAGTGAGTGATAAGGCAAGCAACTTCACCCCCTCTGAAGCCTGGAGCCACCCTGCCTGTCCTGCAAGGGCAGCGTGTTCTAGGCACTGCACAGTTGTGCCGCTAGGGCCACACTATACTCATGCACACGACACAGGGTAGAGGCCCCATGTCCTCTCTTCTTGCATTGTTTTCTTCTCCAGCAGAGCCACTGTCATCGCAGAATGTTCTCAACCCATTCCTTCCCTAGAGTCCCCTGGGTGGGGGCATCCAGAGCCTTTCAGCAACTGCTCATAAGAGAAATGCCAACACGGAAAGACCTCAAAATGCTTTAAATTCTGTAGGAGTCAGTCCCTTCTACTTATGTTTATAGAATTTACAGCATGACACTGTTTGATGTGAATCTGAATTATGCAAATGTGAAGCAATGTTTTAATACATATACAGTCTTTATGTATAAAATTTTAAATAAAACTATTGTGGAGGGCATGGTGGTGTATGCCTGTAATCCCAGCACTCTGAGAGGATGAGGGAGGAGGGTCACAAGTTTGAGCCCAAGACTGAGCAAGACCCTGTATCAAAATAAAAAAGAAAGAGACTGACAGAGAGAGACAGAGAAGAAAAAAGGAAGGGAAAAGAAAAGAAAAAGGGTTGGATGTGTAGCTCAGTGTGAAGGTCTTGAGTTCACTTCCTAGTGTAGCAAAATAAAGTATCAAAAACTGTAAATCAGATGGAGTATTACCAGCTTTTTTCAGGAGACTGAGTCAGAAGGATCAGTTGAGCCCAGGAATTTGGGACCCACTTAGGCAATACAGCAAGACTTTATCTCAAAAAAATGTTTTGTTTTGGTACCGGGGAACAAAGTCACAACTGTGCGCTTGCAAGGCAGGCGCTTATGCCACTGAGCTAAATTCCCAGCCCCCCAAAAAAGTTTTAACTAATGGAGAATCATTTAATTTCAAAACAGGCTGGCTCAGTGAATTAGAAATTGCTGTCACTACAGCCAGATGACAATGCCCCTGGGGAAGTACCTGCCACTCTCTTGTTGGTGGCCCTCAGGTGCTACACCACTGCTCATGTGCATAAGAATTTCCTCTTGTGATTATGGGCACTATTATGCTGTTATTTTAACATTCACTGTTATTATAATTTAAGATCTTTTTTTATATCCTATAACAATGTCATCCAAGTATTCATTAAGTAGCGGTGGCAGTGCTTGTGCTGAAAAATGTACCCAAAAATCAATAACTTTGGTGCGGAAGTTAAATGTGATAAAACACTATAAGGAAGGCCAAGCAAGACCATGATACCCTGGGCTGTTAATTTAGGAAAGAGCGTTCAGCGAGGCACAGAGATAATGCTGAGAAAATAAAAAGGAGCATTAAGGCAAAGATGCACTTCACCGGTTATGGATTTGTGTGCTAGCAGAACACATCCCCCTCTACTTTTTTACATTAATTCCTGTGGGAAAATTAGTCTTAACATGTGTTAGTTTTGAATTATGCAAAGTCTCCTAGAGCCTGTCCCTGGCATAAAATCCAACCTCAAACACAGATAGTAGCCAAGGATATAGAACAAATGAAAAAAATCATTCCCATTAAGGGGCAAATAGCTGATATTAGATCCTTTGTTGAGCTCAAGGGAGGGAACTATAGCCTGAAAGAAGGTGTAGTGTACAAAGAGAAATAAACCAAGTTAAAAGACGGTCAAACACCCTGTGCAAGTAGAAGTCCCTGCTCCACCAAGGGTCACGCTGACCACAGCAGGGCAAGCCTGGGCAGTGTGTCAGAGGTGCCCATTCACGAGCCTCGTCCCACTTAAACCTCAGGAAACAACCCCAAGTGCTCAATGCTGTTATCCTCCATGCTCGGCCAAGTAGCTAAGACTCGGCCAATCACTCGACTTGCCCCGAGGAGCTCCAAGTGTGTGAGGACAGCCAGCCATCCAGCTTCTTCTGTGCAATCCAGTGACTTCCATTGTCCTACAGAGGTCAGCTACTGGGCAAGTACTCTTTCGGAAAAGGATGAGCCCCATGATGTCATTCTTGTCACCCCATCTAGATTATGACCAGTCGCTGTTTGGATCTCTGTGTCTGTAGTCATCTGCAGCAAAAAAAGCTACTAAGCCAAGGCACCTGGCTCTCTGACAGTGAGAACCAGCTGATATTCAATCCTTTGTTGGGCTCAAGGGAGGGAATTATAAACCTGAAGGAAGGTTTAGGGTTGCAAGAAAACCAGGTTAAAAGACAGTCATGGCTCCAGGAGAGGCAGTGCCTCCGTGCTCCCTGGTGAAGGGCATCAGAGTTCCAAAGGTACTTCCTTCTCACTGAGGCCACCTGCACCGATGGCTTAGCCCTGAGACGCCGACTCTCCCATGACATCCCAGTAGACTCCGGGCCAACAGCATGGAGTAATCAGAGCCAGAGTGGACAAGTGTGTGGGGGCAAAGAGCATTAGGATGAGTCTGCAGGGGCTGAGGTCTCTGGAGGCAGGAAAGCAGGTCCTCTGTCTAACTGAAAAGGACAGAGCTATGGAGACGGTGGGAAAGGAGGTCCTCAAAGAGGGAGGGAGGGAGTCCCTGCCACTGGCATCTCTGCCCCTTTGTGCCTACTGGCAAAGTCAAGCTTAGCCCAGCTGGGTCACCAGAAGGATCCTACAAATCTCCTCTGCCTTTTCACACAGACCCCTTATTTAATGGTGCATTTATTAAGCAAAAAACTAATTTCCCGTGTATTATTCGGATACACGGTATATGAGCTGAGGAAAGGTCCAGAAGGAGACACATAAAATTGTTGGTTTGTTCTTTCTTTCTGTCAAATCCACAGCTTTCAACAATGGCCACTTTCCACAGTAAGTCACACCCTGAGTTGATAAAAATCCTAGTAAGAGGATCTTGCTATTTCATAAGTTCATGATCTTGGGATTTCTAGCTTTGGTTTGGCCAAATCCCAAATTGAGATCTTCCTCCCGCAATCCACCTGTGAGTGAGGAGCTAGGCTGGATGAACCGGCTCAGCTCCTTGAGGAGGCTGCAGTGGAGTTTGGATAGACCCTGGCTGCCCTAGAGCACGGCATGGACAGAAAGAGCAGCAGCTACCCTGGCTGCCAGCCAAGGCAGGTTTCCGGTGTGGCTACTAAAGACTTGACTGACCCAGGCCTCTACCAAGGCCAGAAGCTGCCTGCAGCAGTGCAGGCAAAAGCCCTGAGGCAGAGTGGGCGCAGTGATGACGTTGAGCAGGAGTCCTCCCCAAATACGTTCCTCCTCTTCCCTCTGCAGACGGCTCAAGTGCTTGCGCCACATCAACTGAGGGCATCAGAAACCTCAGGAATCAGCACCCCTAAATCTCTGACCTTGAGAAACTCATAGTCTCAGGGGAGTTGAGAAACAATTGTCCCTGGCAGGGTGACACAGGCCATGCTGGGCTCATTGCAGCTTTTGAGGCACGGAGGTGCTGAGGTAAATGTGCACCCCCACATGCAAAGCTTAGAAGTAGCCCCACAAGTCTACTGTGGACCGGTCTCCCAGCTAGCCCTAAGCACCCCCAACCCCAGGCAAAGAGCTACCAAGATGACAAGAAGGGCCCTAAGCTGCTCTAAACCCACCAGCTGACAAGGGAGACACACACACCAGAACCACAGCTTGATTAAAGCTTCAGTGTAGCAGCAAATGCTACACTGGTGGGCTGGGCGTGTTCAGAATTAACTCTAACCATGGTGCTCTGCAACAGCCTCCAGGGAAGCTGGGGAGCCAGGGTGTGACAGGGCCAGGGGACCAGGCTCAGAGGGAAAGGTAGGACTGTGAGGCAAGGGCACCAGGCTAGGGGCATGAGCTGGACAAAGGCCCAGAGGGGAGCCTGCAGGGCAGTGCTGCTTACCATTTTGCTTGGCCGTCTCGTAGTCTTCCTTGCACACGAGCCGCCCGTCCTCCATGAGGTAGAACTCGTCCCCTGTGGCCAGCTGCCGGTTGCAAATGATGCAGGCAAAGCAGTGCAGGTGGTAGACAAAGTCCTGGGCCTTGCGGACCACCTGGGTCGGAGGGATGCCCTGCTGGCAGGCTGTGCATTTTGTGCCAAAGCGTCTGTAGGGGCAGCAGAAAAGGATTAGGGGGGCGGGGGAGGCATCTTGAGTTTGGGGGCTTCCTTATCTTTATGGAGACATCTGGAGGACCAGGCTCTCCAGGAAGTGTGTATCAAGCACTCAGCAGCCCACCTCTTCACAGGAGGCCCTGTGTGGCCAGGGAACAATATGAATCTGCATTCCCACTGGTGATCTGGAGAAAACCCACTTCATCTGCAGAGGAGGTTCTCTCTCTCTGCCAATGCCAGCCACAGGAGCCCCTGCCCCTCTGTGCACAGCCCTGAGAGGCAGTGGTCCAAAGTGGGCCCAGGAAGCCACACTTTCAAACCCCAGAGACTCTCCAGGGCAGAGGGTATGTAGGGCTCAGTTTAGAAAATGCTGCTTCAGACTTCTCTCTGCTCTGTTCCTTTCTGGAGGGGCACCAAGGCAAGAGGAAGCCATGTACTGCTACGCCGCTGTGCCAGGGCTGGGCGGGAGGAGCAGCAGACACATTGGAAGAACCAACAGCAAGGTCCCTAAATCGATATACAGAGCCATGCCAACCATCAGAAAGCAAGATGGAGCCTGAGGCCCAGCAAAGACATGGGCAGTGGCCAGGGCGCCTGCCACAGGTGAGCCTTCCCCGCTCCAAGAAGGAGGCGGAGGGGCCGGGGAAGCAGGGGCAGAGTTTAAAACAGCAATCAACCTAATTATTCATGACACTTCACACAGCAGAACTTTATCTTCTTCAAGATGAAAGACTTCGCCTAATGGATCTGGGGAAGGTTTGATTTTAATGGTCCTTTTAACTAATGCTTATAGGCAGCCTGATTTCCCCTGAAAGGACAGTACATATTTCATCCACATTAATACCAAATAAATTAATTATGGTCATGGCTATCATGATGAATCCCAGATTAATGCAGAATGATGGGTCTCTTATGCAGTAATGATACCTGCTGAGGGGCTGCAAGCATCTGCAACAGGCATGGCGACTGCGGCTTCAGAGGCACCCCCACTCCACCCCAGCAACATGCAGTCCTGGACAGAAGTGGGGGTCGCTTAGAGAGCCGGGGGCATGTGTAGGGGACTGCTCTTCTGAGATTGGTACAAGAAGGTTATTGGGGTAAGAGGGGCTGAAACTTGGCTTGCGAGGGCCCCAGGCTTCTGAATTCCTGAGATGCCATTTAGTTTGGAGGTAGGGGCCCTGATCCAGGCCTCTCAGAGCCAGAATTGGAAGTGTCAGTCCTGAAATTCAGGGTGGGCTTTGTGACCTCTGCTAACCCACACGCACAATTGCTTGGAATTCTGGGTTTGGGGTCTGGGCTTTCCTAAGATTTTCAAAAGGATCTAGGAAACAGAAATGCAAGTATGTGTAAAAAATGAAATCATTGAATAAAGAATCCTGGTCTCCGAGGATATGCACAGAATGGCTCAGTCTGAGAGAGGACAGCAAGTAGATGGTGAGCTGTAGACTGTCCCGCCCCTCCCGGAACACAGGACAGAACCAGGCTTCTGCCACAAAGCAGTCTAACCACATTACCAGTCTTATAGGAAAGAGCCAGGCACCGCACTCTGTTCTCTTAGAACGTGTGTGTTTGGGGAACAAAGATAAAGTCTGTCTTGTGTTACTAGAGAGTACCAGTCCCAAGGCCTGAGGTTCTTATATCCCACTCCGGCCAATCCACAAAGCTGATGTTAAAGTGCAACATCGCTTCCACCACACTCAGCCCCTCCCAGGAAGTCATCTAAATCCAGACACTGGGTCCAAATCCTTTCCTGAAGAAGCTGGGGGCAGAGCTGGCTCCAGAGACGATCTGGACTCTCCCAAAGGCAAGCTCCTACCTTGGTGGCCCACACAATGCAGCAGAGACCTGAGGAGAAGGCTGAAGGGAGACCCCAGAACAGAGCAGGGGCCTCCAGCAGTCTCTCCCTCAAGAAGGCCACATCACTGTCACCTCTAAAAAGCAGGACGAGTTTTCAGTAACCAGAAGCCCAGTTGACACTACAGCACCAGAGACATGAAAGATAACAGGGGTATAAATTTAATCTACAGACCGACAGTGATTCATGCAAAAGGGTGGCAAGTGCACAAGAAAAATGAAAAATAAATGGACTTTCCCACCAGCATTTTTTAGCAATTGAAGCAATTTTCCTGATTGTGGGATTTATACAATGGTAAGTGGAAGTTGCTCCTCATTACCTTTTTCTCCTGGAGCACAGCCAATAGGACCCTTGCCGGGGAGCATCGTGTGCCCCGCTGGGCCTTCAGGGCTCCCTGGTCTGGCCCAGCCTCAGGAGTGACCCCACCCCACCTCTAATCAGAGCCAGTACATCAAAATAAGGTGCTGTCTGGTGTGTGCGAGTACACATGCACATGTGTGTGAACAACTCGGGGGCTGGGGCTGGGCGGTGTCAAAGACACTGTCCCTGAGTTTCCAATCTTAGCTCAGTTGAAGCCACAGATGAGAAAGGCCTGCAGGCCCCACAACTGTCCTGTGACAGGAAATCCCCAGGCCCAAGATGGTATAAAACAGTAAAACTGGCCACTACACAGAGAATCAGCAGTCTAACCATTCTGATCAAATCTGAAGGGCACTGGGCTTGAGAAACAGGGGCTGAAGCCTTCCAAGAGATGATCCGGGCATCACCCCCTCGATGCCATCACCAAGCACCCACTGTGTGCAGGGCCCACCTGGCTGCACCATGCCCACTGGCCTTGCTTTGCAAAAATACATTCTTGCTGGCTGGCCAGGACTCCAGGGACAGCAGCTGGAGCTGGTCCAAAATGAGAAGGAAAGCAAGGAAGAACTCACCAGGAACACCTGCAGTGCTGTTCTCCTGACCAGCACCACCAGAAATTCTCTCTTATCGTGCCCAGCACGCAGGAGGCAAGCCGCAAGTTGAATGAACGGTGAATGAGTAAACTGCTCCTTAAATCGCACGCGTGAGGAGTCAGGGAAGGCTCGGCCTCAGTGCCAGAATGGCAGCTCCTGTCTACAGCTTTTCTGAAAAGGGCGTGGAGCCCCAGGTTTAAGCAAGGCCCGAGTTTATAGAACACAAAACTGCCTCCCTCTGTGCTGCCATCCTCATATTCATCCCACAAAGCCTCTCAGGTAGCCACCCTGGGAAGGGAGCACCACAGATGAGAAACTAAAGCTCTGGGAGACGAGATGCTTTCTTGGCGGGGGCAGTGCTGGATTGGACCCAGCGCCTTCACACTGAGCTGCATCCCAGTGCATCTCCCTCTTTTTTCAAAACAAGGTCTCTCTAAGTTGCTAAGTAGGCTCAAACTTGTGGTGTTCCTGCCTCAGCCTCCCTATGTGGAGGAGAGGGGTGGGAAGTGCAAGGCATCACAGCCATCGCTCAGGGGCCACTTCAGGAGGGACCGAGCCTTCTGTCCTTCTGTCATGTCCTCTGCTGCAGTCTGACCTGAGCTCCTGTCTCTGTGCATCTGTTCACCCCTGTTGCTCCAGACAGGCGACCCAGGCCACTCACCAGCGCAGGGACAAACACGGGGGTGTCCGATGCCTGTGGAAAAGGCAAGAAGACCCTGCAAGCACAGAGCCTTCACATAAATCCCACAGCACATCTGGTATGTTCCTGAGTTTAAGTGCTGTCCTATGACCATGTTGTGGTTGCTGACCCATGACTAAAAAGGTCACCAAGCTCCCATACACCAAGTGCCTCCTGTGTGCCCTGCGCTGGGCCCAGTGCACAAGGATCCCACTGATCCTCATCTTCGGGCCCTTGGCTCCAACCCACACACTCTCCACAGCCACCTCAGCATCACCCCGTTCAATCCTTGGTCACTCCAGCTCCCGGCTCACCATCACTCCTGCGACAACCCTGGGCGACTTCAACATCACACAGACCATCCCCACCCTGCCCTCTCAGTTCTCTGACCTGTTCTCCTGAGGGACACACTCCTGCCCTTTAGCCAATGGGATTCCCAAGACCTTGTTGGCCCCAGTAACTTCTAAGCCTCCACGAGATCATCCAACCGTCCTGTGTGGGTCACCACTTCCTCTCTGGGCAGCACCCCCAATATGTCCTCCGGCATCCTGATTCCCGTGGCTCAGGGACCACACCTGCCACTTTGCCCACCACCATCCTCCACTCCCCTGGTGACCTGGCTCCTCCTCTTAGCCGGCACAGATCCTGTGTCTGTGACCTTCACTTTGCAGCCTCAGCTCTCCGGCAGTCTCAGCCCACTGCCTTCTCCACCCCTGTGCTGGTGTCTGAACACACTTGAGAATCACCACCTTGCTGGCCAGGTCCCCTTTACAATCTGTGTACCTCCAGAGGGCCCAGAAATCACAGACGGTTCCTTCTTCACCTCCCAGACCCTTCCCTCCAGCCCTCATCCTCGTTCTTAGCCCGTGGCCTCCTGATTCCTCCGCCCGAGGAGAACCGGGCAGCTCTGGCAAAGGGGCTGCTGTGCACTCCTGCCTGCGCACCTGTCACGATGGTAGCTGAGGGCCTGGCTCCCTGCAGGCAGACAGCCCGTCCTGCTCAGGGCTCACATCCCCCCGGCACAGAGCACCTGGTAACACCCTCCAGCAGCTGCCCTCTCCTCCCGCATCCCCTCTATGCACCCTTCCCACCTGCACACAGCAGGCTATTATCTCTGCATCCTTGACCCTAAAAACCCCTTCTCCTCACTTCCCATCTGCTACCCATTTCACCACTGCCTTTAGAACAGCGTCCTGGGAAGTCTCCAAGTGAGGCTGCCCGTGGCCCTACACCCAGCCCTCTCTTGAAAGGCCCACCCACCGTCCATGCTGTCACTAAGTCCAGGGTCAGCGCCCCCAGCCCCACCTTCCAGCAGGGCCCACCCCTCGCCAGAGCACTGACCTCACTCAGCCTCAGAATCCCGCTACCCGAGTGAGGCCCGCTCACCTCTTCTCTGCCTGCCCACTCCCGGGGCTCTCCTTCCACCTCCAGCCAGCAGGTCCCACTTCGGCGCCTTCCTGGGATGCCCAAGCCCAGCCCCTCATCTTGGCCCACTGTCTGCCCATC